AGTGGTAGCTAAACTCTCTGTTTTTGGCACATCGCTGCATACTCACTAGTAAATTAATGTTAATTTTACGTTTCTATTTGTATTTTGCTATACTTATTGTCTAGCAAACTCAAAATATCACTTTCATCAACATTTACAAAATGTACATCTACCATTTTTTCTGTAAACATTATGACGTCATATTCCCCATAATTCATAAGGTAACATATGCAGTCAATAATATGATATCCCTGATGCACCGTTGGGGTACAGGCAAAAATGTTGACCGCTAATTGACCAATCAGATGCGAGTATTTACATTAAGGTACTAACAATACATATTGTTGACTGCTCATCGACCAATCAGATTTGGGTCTGAATAATTAACAAACTAAAAAAAGAGGAGGCAAAGCCCAAGAGCTTTAGTGATGACTGGCATATTACGTCTCTTGCGTACCACCTTTGTTTGCGGAAATTCTCACCAGTTAGTTTTTGAATATAACACATTGTTGTGATGTTTTAATCGATTTAAGCATATTCCTATCTCACTTTATCTTGATGTGAAATAACAAGCTATGATATTGGTTAACATGCCAGAAATTAACATAATATTACTCGAAGCGTTATTAGAAAATTTTGAATCCGCCATTATTGTTTGTCGATTTTGACCAATCAGAGACGTGGGTCATCTCAATACAGGTTTACATTATAAGCATATGTCATCTTTGAACTCTGGGGTTATTCCCCCTCTTAACTAACAAGAAAGATTCCAGTAAAGTATAGTAAACAAAACTAAGGAATTTTTGTAAAAATCTTAATACTCTTGTAATAAACTTAGTAGTATAAAAAAGTAGTATCAAATGTGGTTAGAAAATCCATATCAAATTAAGAAGATAAATATATTCTATTCAAATAAATATACAACTTTTCATATGTTTATAAGTTTAATTCTGTAACCCTGGAAAATGAATTCATATTTAGAAAGTAAAACGCTATAAAACCAATTATTTGGTGAATATATATTTATTAAACAGAAAATGAGTAGTACCTAAAATATAACTTAATTTGAATCTTTGTATGTCTGTGCAAAGAACAGACAGAAAGAGTGAATGGTGATTTGACCTTACATATGCCATATGCCTTGGTCACATTTGCCCTGATTTTTAGTATGGCACCTGGCTGATGAGTTTTTTTTTTTCAAATGGTTCTATGTATCATTTATTTGGGAGTACAAAGGTGGTCCTTTTGTAAAAGATTTTTCTGTGTTTTAGGATTTTGTTTGAATATATAATAGATAAGCAGAAATGTCATTAACACTGACCTCAAGAATATTTCACACAATTACCTTCGTTGACATTCTCAAGGTCAAAAAAATATTTGATCTTCTCAAGATATTCTCCAAAAATAGTGTTCAACAAAGGTGTCATTTTGTAAAAGATTTTTTTGTGTTTAAAGATTTTGTTTGAATATAAAATAGATAAGCAGAAATGTCATAAACACTTTGACCTTAGGAATATTTGACACAAGGACCTTCAGTGACTTTCTCAAGGTCAAAAAAATATTTGATCTTCTCAAAGAATTTTCAAAAATAGCAATCATAGGTACCTAGTAGCGGTCAACAACATTATACAATTCTTGACCTCTCCAGAGGTCAACCGGCAAACTTGTATACTGATACTGTAAACCGAGAAACCGAAGGTTGAGAAAAGAAAATCTGCAATGTCATTAACGCTGACCTCAAGAATATTTCACACAATGACCTTCGTTGACATTCTCAAGGTCAAAAAAATATTTGATCTTCTCAAGATATTCTCCAAAAATAGTGTTCAACAGTACCTAGTTTCAGTCAACAACAGTTCGTTGACTGCTCATCAACCAATCAGATTTGAGTCTTGATAATAAACAAACTAACAAGAAAGATTCCAGTAAAGTATAGTAAACAAAATTAAAGGAATTTTTGTAAAAATCTTGATATTCTCGTAATAAACTTAGTAGTATAAAAAAAGTAGTATCAAATGTGGTTAGAAATTCATATCAAATTAAGAAGATAAATATAACCTATTCAAAGAAATATACAACTTTTCATTTGTCTAAAAGTTTAATTTTTTAACCCTGGAAAATGATTTTGATATTAAAAAAGTAAAACTGTATAAAACCCATTTTTTGGTGAATCTACACTTATTCTTTTTTATTCTTTACTTCTACCCACACTTGTGAGCATAAAATAGTACATATACATACAATGATAATACAGTTTAGTTTAATTCACTACCACCAATAATCTTCATCAATTTACTTAATTGCACAGAATATTTAATATTTGACAACAAACTTTTAAATTTTAACATATTTGGTTGTTTAATGAAGTAGTTATCTAGAAGTATTTTTCTTTCATCTTCAAAAAGTTTACATTCTAAAATATAATGGTACTCATCTCCTAGTCTGCTACATTTGGTACACACTCTCTCTAACCTTGGTCTTTTTATGTATCTCCCTGTTTCTATAGGAAGATTATGATTTGAAGTTCTAAGTTTTGTTATATATAATCTAGTGCTTATTGGTTGACATAAATAGGGTTCAAAAATAAATTTGTTCTTAATGCTACAATATGTAAAATATGAAGTTTTAGATTTATCTAAGTCTGATAGCCATTGCTGTAGGAATTGATTTTTTAGTTTCCTCTTCACCATATGTTTCAATGCATCCCTTGATATAAACTCTTGTCTATTCCAAATATATGAAAATCTACAGTCATTTAAAATATTTTCTACTGTACTTAACCATGGTGAGCTGTATATACCCCTTATATGTAATTGAAGCATAGCTTTATAAATGGAACTACTTGTTGTTTTACTTTGTATCAATTTACCCCAAAAATTTACCATTCTTGTTTTAATGTGTATTTCCAAAGGGTAGCGCCCCAATTCACCATATATCATGAATGAGGGTGTAGTTGCTTTTACTCTGAGTATGTATTTACAAAATTTGAGGTGTAAGACTTCACAATTTTTTATAGCCTTCGAAAATCCCCATATTTCACAGCCATAACACAAAATAGGTAATATTAACGTATCAAACAATTCTAATTGAACATCAATTGGTAAATTAACATTAATTAAACATGTATAAATCTTTCTAATGAAAAACTTAAATTCAATTTTTGTATGTCTGTTTAAAGAACAGACAGAAAGAATGAATGGAGACGAGATATCCCAGTGCCATATAAGTTTTTACTCTCTCATGAAAAATTAAATAGCCTCCCCCCTCTGAAGCAACACTGCTTTATATAAATAGATTGTACTGGTAGATTCGATATCACTGATATAAGTGCTTGATTATTCACAATATTATCATTTATTTGGGGCTACACAGGGGGTCATTTTTCAAAATACTTTTTTGTATTTGAAGATTTTGTTTGAATATAAAATAGATAAGCAGAAATGTCATTAACACTTTGACCTCAAGAATATTTCAAATGATATCAAGTGAAAAATGATCAAAATGGACTCCAAACTCACAGTGGGTGTTATAACTCATTTAACACTGTTTAATTTTTTTTAAATTTTAATGTTACAGTCTAACGATTTAAATAAGTCTATATAAGATATAATTTCATTATTTACTATTTCTGTTTTTGTTTTGTATTATACAATGTTACAGATTTTTATTGTACCTAAAAAGTTACAATATTGTCGTCAGCTTGATGGGTGGGCAGCGGGCAGGCGGGCAGCATCTCACTTTCTTGTCATCACGATTCCAGGAAAACCACTTGACGGATTTTCTTCAAATTTTCATACATGTTACATGTTTAAAAGTTCTAGAGCTGAATAACTTTTCGGCAGCCATCTTGTATTCTGGCGGCCATCTTGGAAGTTTTTAGATAAATCTTGTCATCACAATTCCAGGAAAACCACCTAATGAGTTTACTTCAAATTTTCACACATGTTACGTGGTAGGAAGTTCTAGAGCTGTATTAACTCCAGGACAAGCACTCATAGAGGCGATAAGATAATTTGAGCTTGAAAGACAGGAAAAGTACAAATGCCCGACCAACACGTTTTTTCTGAAAGGTTGTCCTGATTTTCGACCTTCTCCACCCCTGTTTTTTCAATGTTTGATGCATCTATATGTTGCGATTTGAGACACAGTTAACCTCTTAACAGGAAAAATTGATTCATTCAGAATAAAGTGGAAAACAATATTTTCAATGGTATTTTCCCATAGGGAAAACTCATGCGATCCATTGCTTTCAGCTTTATTTTGGTCACCCATAATTGATATCTTTAAAACCTCTGCATGAACCCTATTTTCCTTTAAAGAGGCTAACTGTATCTCTAAATGCAACATTCTGATGCATTCAACATTGAAAAAACAGGGTCGGGAAGGGCTGAAAATCAGGGCAACATTTCAAGAAAGTAAGTTTGCAAAATCAATTTCAAATAAAGAAGAAAAATATAAGCTACTAATATAAATATACAATTCTTCATAATGTTTTGGATATTTTTAAACATTCAGAATATTTTTAGAAGTGCATTATACCACTCTATCGGGAAATAGAGATTTCATTAAAGTGTCAGTTTAAAGTGTCGTTTTAGTCTGTCAGATTAATTTCAATTTTCATTAATTTGAGAGCTTATAGATGTATGACTGTCAACCATTGCTATAAAAAGCTGTCATTTCTGTTATTTATAAATAAATAAAATGGCAAAAAATAGCAATTGACTTGTGGAAGTTGTTAATTTAGTGGTGAATTTAATATAAATGCCAATCATAAGCTAAATATAATGCTGATTTTATAAACCCTAAAATCTTGCTTTTTTCTAATATGATGCTTATTTTATAGACTTTATTTGTTTGATAGATTTCATAATGCGGATTTTATAGACTTTATTATAATGTTTATTTTAAAACCTTAAAATGCTTGTTTTTTTAAATTTTATGCTGATTTCATAGACTATGCTGATTTTACACACTTCATACTGATTTTTTTATATATTATAATGCTGATTTTATTTTTTCAGGGAAATATCCTTCAACAAATTCTCTCATTTGGCTTTATCCTTGAGCTCATCAACACAGTTCCTTTTATTATAACGGTAAGTTCTTGCAAAAGTTTATTGATGCCATCCAATTATTAGTTGAAGAATAGCATAGTCATGGGTGTAGCGCTATTTTTCACAGCAGTACGCCACCATGGGAACAAGAGTTAAGCGAAGTAAAAAATGAGCGTTCTTGGGGATTATCCCTCAGGATAATTTTGAAATTTGGTTGTATTTGGAGCAAATTTGCAACCATCTGGTGTACCCAGTGTACGGGGAACTACCCGTGATAGTTAATTATATTAAGGGAGGTTGTAAATGATGGTTTTGTTAGTTATTAAAGAGTGTTGGTTTCAAATGTAAAACAAATCAAAATTTTTAAAATTTCATTAGATATTGTACTTCAACTAATATTTGATGGTATTATATTTCACACTTTTGCAATTTTGAAGTTTCGTGGTTATTATATTTTGCAAATATACAAACTTTGGGAATTTCCTGGCTATTATATTCTGCGATTTTCCAAAACTCGTGAAAAGTGTGAAATATAGCAGCATGCAAAAATGGCCAGGAGTACAGTAAAGACAAAGGGGCTCATCCCAAAATCTTTGTTTTCCCATGTTGACAATTAGACACCATACATTCCTAACGCTAACAGACTCTATGCAAGTAAAAGTGTATAAATTTTCATCAATGAGTATTCAAAATAGTTTGTGTGATATTGTATATCATATTTTAAATGTTCATATAAAATAACATTTAGAAATGATTTAAAATTATTATCTACTGAAGTTTCAGTTTTCACTATTTTTCCATTTGTTGAGAAAGACTTTGCAATTTTCCAATGACCCATTTTCTGAACTCAATTTATATTTTCAGATATTTTCTGAACCTCTGAGAAATTTATTCATACCAGTTTTCCTCAACTGTTGGTTGGCCAAGTCAGCGTTGGAGAATATGCTTGTAAGTATATTAATATATTTTGGCCAAGTCAGTGTTGGAGAATATGCTTGTAGGTATATTAATATATTTTGGCCAAGTCAGCGTTGGAGAATATGCTTGTAAGTATATATATATATTTTGGCCAAGTCAGCGTTGGAGAATATGCTTGTAAGTATATTAATATATTTTGGCCAAGTCAGCGTTGGAGAAGATGCTTGTAAGTATATTAATATATTTTGGCCAAGTCAGCGTTGGAGAAGATGCTTGTAAGTATATTAATATATTTTAGCCAAGTCAGCGTTGGAGAATATGCTTGTAAGTATATTAATATATTTTGGCCAAGTCAGCGTTGGAGAAGATGCTTGTAAGTATATTAATATATTTTGGCCAAGTCAGCGTTGGAGAATATGCTTGTAAGTATATTAATATATTTTAGCCAAGTTAGCATTGGAGAATATGCTTGTAAGTATATTAATATATTTTGGCCAAGTCAGCATTGGAGAATATGCTTGTAAGTATATTAATATATTTTGGCCAAGTCAGCGTTGGAGAATATGCTTGTAAGTATATTAATATATTTTGGCCAAGTCAGCATTGGAGAATATGCTTATAAGTATATTAATATATTTTGGCCAAGTCAGCGTTGGAGAATATGCTTGTAAGTATATTAATATATTTTGGCCAAGTTAGCGTTGGAGAATATGCTTGTAAGTATATTAATATATTTTGGCCAAGTCAGCGTTGGAGAATATGCTTGTAAGTATATTAATATATTTTAACCAAGTTAGTTTTGGGGAATATGCTTGTAAGTATATTAATATATTTTAACCAAGTCAGCGTTGGAGAATATGCTTGTAAGTATATTAATATATTTTGGCCAAGTTAGCGTTGGAGAATATGCTTGTAAGTATATTAATATATTTTGGCCAAGTCGGCGTTGGAGAATATGCTTGTAAGTATATTAATGTATTTTGGTCAAGTCAGCATTGGAGAATATGCTTGTTAGTATATTAATATATTTTGGTCAAGTTAGTATGGGGGAATATGTTTGTAAGTATATTAATATATTTTGGCCAAGTCAGCGTTGGAGAATATGCTTGTAAGTATATTAATATATTTTGGCCAAGTCAGCATTGGAGAATATGCTTGTAAGTATATTAATATATTTTAGCCAAGTCAGCGTTGGAGAATATGCTTGTTAGTATATTAATATATTTTAGCCAAGTCAGCGTTGGAGAATATGCTTGTAAGTATATTAATATATTTTAACCAAGTTAGTTTTGGAGAATATGCTTGTAAGTATATTAATATATTTTGGCCAAGTCAGCGTTGGAGAATATGCTTGTAAGTATATTAATATATTTTGGCCAAGTCAGCGTTGGAGAATATGCTTGTAAGTATATTAATATATTTTGGCCAAGTCAGCGTTGGAGAATATGCTTGTAAGTATATTAATATATTTTAGCCAAGTCAGCGTTGGAGAATATGCTTGTAAGTATATTAATATATTTTAGCCAAGTCAGCGTTGGAGAATATGCTTGTAAGTATATTAATATATTTTAACCAAGTTAGTTTTGGAGAATATGCTTGTAAGTATATTAATATATTTTGGCCAAGTCAGCGTTGGAGAATATGCTTGTAAGTATATTAATATATTTTGGCCAAGTCAGCGTTGAAGAATATGCTTGTAAGTATATTAATATATTTTGGCCAAGTCAGCGTTGGAGAATATGCTTGTAAGTATATTAATATATTTTAACCAAGTTAGTTTTGGGGAATATGCTTGTAAGTATATTAATATATTTTGGCCAAGTCAGCATTGGAGAATATGCTTGTAAGTATTTTAATATATTTTGGCCAAGTCAGCGTTGGAGAATATGCTTGTAAGTATATTAATATATTTTGGCCAAGTAAGCATTGGAGAATATGCTTGTAAGTATATTAATATATTTTAACCAAGTTAGTTTTGGGGAATATGCTTGTAGGTATATTAATATATTTTGGCCAAGTCAGCATTGGAGAATATGCTTGTAAGTATATTAATATATTTTGGCCAAGTCAGCGTTGGAGAATATGCTTGTAAGTATATTAATATATTTTGGCCAAGTCAGCATTGGAGAATATGCTTGTAAGTATATTAATATATTTTGGCCAAGTCAGCATTGGAGAATATGCTTGTAAGTATATTAATATATTTTGGCCGAGTCAGCGTTGGAGAATATGCTTGTAAGTATATTAATATATTTTGGCCAAGTCAGCGTTGGAGAATATGCTTGTAAGTATATTAATATATTTTAACCAAGTTAGTTTTGGGGAATATGCTTGTAGGTATATTAATATATTTTGGCCAAGTCAGCATTGGAGAATATGCTTGTAAGTATATTAATATATTTTGGCCAAGTCAGCGTTGGAGAATATGCTTGTAAGTATATTAATATATTTTGGCCAAGTCAGCATTGGAGAATATGCTTGTAAGTATATTAATATATTTGAACCAAGTCAGCGTTGGAGAATATGCTTGTAAGTATATTAATATATTTTGGCCAAGTCAGCGTTGGAGAATATGCTTGTAAGTATATTAATATATTTTAACCAAGTTAGTTTTGGGGAATATGCTTGTAGGTATATTAATATATTTTGGCCAAGTCAGCATTGGAGAATATGCTTGTAAGTATATTAATATATTTTGGCCAAGTCAGCATTGGAGAATATGCTTGTAAGTATATTAATATATTTTGGCCAAGTCAGCGTTGGAGAATATGCTTGTAAGTATATTAATATATTTTGGCCAAGTCAGCGTTGGAGAATATGCTTGTAAGTATATTAATATATTTTAACCAAGTTAGTATTGGGGAATATGCTTGTAAGTATATGAATATATTTTAACCAAGTTCGTTTTTTGTATAAGTTAAGTATATTAATATATTTTGGCCAAGTCAGCATTGGAGAATATGCCTGTAAGTATATTAATATATTTTGGCCAAGTTAGTTTTGGGGAATATGCTTGTAGGTATATTAATATATTTTTTTAGAGTCCCAAGACAAACTGACTTAATGTTAGATGAACCTCTATAAGTGGAACACCTCTCAAGTGAAACACTTGACAGAGGTACCAAATGTGTTCCACTAAGACTGGTTCTACTGGTTCTAACTTAGTTTTTTATTTTTATTTTAATCATATATACATATCAGTAATATTTACACCCTTGCAGGAGTATTTCTAATCAATGTAATGTCTTATTAATGTACGTTTAACATGTTTTCAGAAAAAAATGAACCCCAATATCCTATGGCCCAACCTGAGTTTTAATATACGTTAAACATGTTTTCAGAATGATCTCCACAGAGTAATGCAGAAAAATCAGTCAGCATTGGCTCAGCAGTTAGTCATTTTAGCAGTCACAATAGCATGTCTTATATTTACAAGGTAAGTTTTTCCCATAATAAAAGTTGATGTATGAAAATTTGGTAATTTTTGTCACTACCAATTTGAAGTGGTGACATACTGTAGTGTACTTAATTTGACTAAACTCACTTAATATGACTTTGGTTAATTTGGCGGATTTGCTCAACTTCACATATTTAGTTTATAGTTTAGTTTCAGTGATTTTCAGATTTTCCAAAATAGATATCTAGATATGAAAGTTGGTGGATTTTTCAGTATGTGGCATATAATTTCAGTATGTGTGGTATACAACACATTCAGAGGGCAGGCTACACACACATGGATTTATTCCAGTCATTCTGGTTTGTCATCGTCACATTCTCTACTGTTGGCTATGGAGACATAAGCCCAGATATCTGGCCAAGTCAACTCTTTACTACACTCCTTATAGCATCAGCTTTTATAGTTCTACCAACACAGGTAAGTCACATTCTCTACTGTTGGCTATGGAGACATAAGCCCAGATATCTGGCCAAGTCAACTCTTTACTACACTCCTTATAGCATCAGCCTTTATAGTTCTACCAACACAGGTAAGTCACATTCTCTACTGTTGGCTATGGAGACATAAGCCCAGATATCTGGCCAAGTCAACTCTTTACTACACTCCTTATAGCATCAGCCTTTATAGTTCTACCAACACAGGTAAGTCACATTCTCTACTGTTGGCTATGGAGACATAAGCCCAGATATCTGGCCAAGTCAACTCTTTACTACACTTCTTATAGCATCAGCTTTTATAGTTCTACCAACGCAGGTAAGTCACATTCTCTAATGTTCATGGCTATGGAGACATAAGCCCAGTTATCTGGCCGAGTCAACTCTTTACTACACTTCTTATAGCATCAGCTTTTATAGTTCTACCAACGCAGGTAAGTCACATTCTCTAATGTTCATGGCTATGGGGACATAAGCCCAGTTATCTGGCCAAGTCAACTCTTTACTACACTTCTTATAGCATCAGCTTTTATAGTTCTACCAACGCAGGTAAGTCACATTCTCTAATGTTCATGGCTATGGGGACATAAGCCCAGTTATCTGGCCAAGTCAACTCTTTACTACACTTCTTATAGCATCAGCTTTTATAGTTCTACCAACGCAGGTAAGTCACATTCTCTAATGTTCATGGCTATGGGGACATAAGCCCAGTTATCTGGCCAAGTCAACTCTTTACTACACTTCTTATAGCATCAGCTTTTATAGTTCTACCAACGCAGGTAAGTCACATTCTCTAATGTTCATGGCTATGGGGACATAAGCCCAGTTATCTGGCCAAGTCAACTCTTTACTACACTTCTTATAGCATCAGCTTTTATAGTTCTACCAACGCAGGTAAGTCACATTCTCTAATGTTCATGGCTATGGGGACATAAGCCCAGTTATCTGGCCAAGTCAACTCTTTACTACACTTCTTATAGCATCAGCTTTTATAGTTCTTCCAACGCAGGTAAGTCACATTCTCTAATGTTCATGGCTATGGGGACATAAGCCCAGTTATCTGGCCAAGTCAACTCTTTACTACACTCCTTATAGCATCAGCTTTTATAGTTCTACCAACACAGGTAAGTCACATTCTCTACTGTTGGCTATGGGGACATAAGCCCAGATATCTGGCCAAGTCAACTCTTCACTACACTCCTTATAGCATCAGCTTTTATAGTTCTACCAACGCAGGTAAGTCACATTCTCTAATGTTCATGGCTATGGGGACATAAGCCCAGTTATCTGGCCAAGTCAACTCTTTACTACACTTCTTATAGCATCAGCTTTTATAGTTCTACCAACGCAGGTAAGTCACATTCTCTAATGTTCATGGCTATGGGGACATAAGCCCAGTCATCTGGCCAAGTCAACTCTTCACTACACTTCTTATAGCATCAGCTTTTATATAGTTCTACCAACGCAGGTAAAGTTCTGTATGGCAAATAAAAGGTACAATGTAGTTTTACAAGGTAATTTTACAATAGTTTGCGTCATTTCATAAAACTTGGCAGACATAAACTACGACAAATATATGTTTGAGTCAAAGGTTAGTGACAAAACTGCGTCCAAAATTATGGTTGCTATAGTGACTGTTGATTAAGTACATGAGGCACCTTCTAATTCAGTTCAATTCAAGAAAAAACTTTTTCACAATGGAAATACTTTTTACAATGAAAATGCTATAAAATGGAAATACTATTTTACAATGTTATATATCTACACACCAAGCAGAACACCCCATCTTTGGTTTATTGATTTCATTCTTTGTACCAGTTTATATTGTTAGTACCTCAGTGTAAATACTCGCATCTGATTGGTCAATTAGCGGTCAACAGTTTTGCCTGTACCTCACCTGTGCATCATGGGATATCATATTATTGACCGCGTATGTTACTGTACTACACTTGTGAATTATGGGGAATATGACGTCACAATGTTTACAGAAAACAAAATTGAAGACGGACATTTTGTAAACGTTGATAAAAGTGATATTTTGACTTTGCTAGACGACGAGTATAGCAAAAATACAAATAGAAACGCAAAATTAACATTAATTTACTACAGAGAGTCTAGCTACCACTGTCTTCTGATTTTCTTAACAAATTATTGCTGGCGTGGTTCGGAGAAAAGATTGTGAAATGAAGCCATGATTGATGTCTGTCGTCTATATGTGTATTATTAGTTTCTTCTGACTAACAAAACAATTGTAGACCTCTCCATTCGGTCAACCGTCAAAATCATATACCTCGACTGTAAACCTTGAAACTACTGTTGACCTCGACCTTCGGTCTCTGTCAACAGTAGTTTCTCGGTTTACAGTCTCGGTATACAATTTTGCCGGTTGACCTCTGGAGAGGTCAACAATTGTATATTGTACCATTTTCTTATGACAGTTTGAACAACTGGCGTACACCTGGATGGAGCGCCAGAAACAAGGGGGGACATACAGCTCCCATAGGGCTCAGAATGAGAAACATGTTGTTGTATGTGCCACTACACTACACACAGAGAGCATCATGGACTTCTTAAATGAATTCTACGCCCACCCAAAATTACAGGTGAGTAACATATTATTAGTATTGGATATGGGTTTTATCCTGAGGGAAGCAATAGTATCTTCTTTAGGACTATCAAAATGGACCTTTTGATCTATGCCTACCCAAAATTACAAATGAGTAAACATACATGTAATTTTTGGATATGGGTTTTATCCTGAGGGAAATAATAGTGTCCTCTTAGGGACTATAAAAATCTCCCAAAATAATGGACCTTTTGTTCTAGGCGCACCCAAAATTACAAATGAGCAAACATTTTTTAGATATGGGTTTTATCCTGAGGGACTGTAAAAAATCTCCCTAACAGTCCTTTAGTAACATTTATATTATAAATTATACACGTTTTTTGTTTTCTACATACCCAGTCTATCAACTCTGTATGATCACTGTGGTAAACCTTCTAAAACAAAATTTTGTATTTGCCAAAATTCAGTATTTTTTAGTTTATATACAAGCTTACATTTAATATACATTATATATTTAATAGGATTTATTTTTACTTATTCCCTATAAGGGCCAAACGTCCGTCCAACAATATAAAAAAATTACTGTAAAACTATTTAAAAGAAAAATAAATAAGACTAAATTCTTCAAATTACATATACAGTGTATACTGTTCAGACCTGGAATGAACACTGTTTTCCCACAGGACTTCAAAAACAGTTTTTAAAAAGAATTGAATATTATTTATTGTAGGACTATTATGTTGTGCTGTTATCTCCCTGTGAACTTGAACCCACCATTAAGATGATATTATCAGTCCCTATTTGGGCACAGAGGGTCATATACATCCAGGGTTCTGTGCTGAAAGACTCTGATCTAAATAGATGCAGGTAAGTTTGGGAATTCTGGGTAAATACTGTAATTTTGTTGATTTGTGTCAAATTCTCAAATTATAGTGATAATAAGAAATGAAGTTGTAATCTGCAGCTTTTGAGTTGAAATCTGCAGCTTTTGAGTTGAAATCTGCAGCTTTTTAGTTGTTATCTGCACCTTTTGAGTTGAAATCTGCAGCTTTTGAGTTGTAATCTACAACTTTTGAGTTGTAATCTGCAGCTTTTGAGTTGTAATCTGCAGGTTTTGAGTTGTAATCTGCAACTTTTGAGTTGTAATCTGCAGCTTTTGAGTTGTAATTTGCTGGTTTTGAGTTGTAATCTGCAACTTTTGAGTTGTAATCTGCAGCTTTTGAGTTGTAATCTGCAACTTTTGAGTTGAAATCTGCAGCAGAAGAGTTGTAATATGCGGCTTTTGAGTTGTAATCTGCAGCTTTTTAGTTGTAATCTGCACCTTTTGAGTTGAAATCTGCAGCTTTTGAGTTGTAATCTGCAGCTTTTGAGTTGAAATCTGCAGGTTTTGAGTTGAAATATGCAACTTTTGAGTTGTAATATGCACCTTTTGAGTTGAAATCTGCAGGAGTAGAGTTGTTATATGCAACTTTTGAGTTGTAATCTGCAGCAGTAAGGTTGTAATCTGCAGCTGTTGAGTTGTTATCTGCTGATGTATGGTTACAATTTGGAGCTCTAGAGTTGTAATCTACAACTTTCAGTTTTGAGTTTTTATGTGCAACGGTTTATTTTTAATCTGTAGCCAATAACCCTCTCCATTTTATTATTATAGAATGCAAGATGCCGAGGCTTGCTTTATTTTGGCCCAGAGGAACTATGCGGACAGGAATGCTGCTGTAAGGTTCTTTATACAAAACAACATCTCATCTCATATTTGTTCATCATTTAAAAAAATGCATTGTATTCCAAAAACTTAAAAATGGTAGTGTAAAATTAAAAGGAAAAATGTAATAGAATGAAAAAATGTGAAAATGAAAAATAATGAAAAAATAAAAAAAATAATGGAAAAAAATTAAAATGAATGGATCGAATGAAATCATGAATCTACGAAAAAGTGAGGGCTTAATCTTATTTTCTATTCTTTATTTCTGATTTGTTCCAGGACCAGCATACAATAATGAGGTCATGGGCTGTCAGAGATTTTGCCCCACACTGCCCACAGTATGTCCAAATCTTTAGACCTGAAAATAAATTCCACGTCAAGTTTGCAGGTATGTAGTTTTCATTCAGTTCTTTTATTTTATTTAATCTATAAGGTAGTGGGGCAACCCTCTAGGGAGCAACAATACCTAAAAAAGCTGCATTAATGATGTATAGATTATATAAGGGTTATGTATGGTCAGTTTTAGTTTATCACTCGAGAAGTAAAATATTGAGAAAATCTCCCTCAGCTCGGTTTAGATTAAATTTGAAAATCAGTAAATTGTTGTTGTCTTTCAGAGCATGTGGTATGTGAGGATGAATTCAAATATGCTATATTAGCCAACAATTGTCTGTGCCCTGGGGCATCTACACTTATAACACTATTGACACATACATCAAGAGGAAGGTGAGTAAACCCTTTGGTAGCGTTCAAGAATTCCAACTGCTGGCTGATGGTTTAACTTATTTTAATGGCCAACTCATTGAAATATGAATGGAATAGTGGTTTTTTCATATTTATTAAATGAGTTGGCCATAAAATAGTAGGTTAAACTGTCACTGTTAAACTGTCAGGCGGCAATAACGCAGATGTGAGTAGGTAGTTCCCAGTTTCACCACCAGGTGGCCCGTTCGGGTCAGATAACATGGCGGCTATAGTAGAAAGTTCCCTTAAACTTAAATTACATCTGTTTTAGTGGTTTAATTTTCATATAACCCTTATGTATCTAATAGTTATGCAAATCAAAATATGTCCAGTAAATGAAAATGTTATCTGACCAATACAAGAAAAGATATTTCACTTTTTGTGATTTTGTAACATGGGCTCTATGGAGAATCAACCCGAACTAGAAGTCACACTTTCAAAAATAATTAAATTTTCAAACTTGATAAACAATTTTCGAAGCCATATTTCTAGATGTACTTTTACATGTAGATTTCAAATATAACATCGCTTTGACTGAATTTTGAATATTTGATGGCGTAAATCAAGATTTTTTCTACTCGCATCTAGTCTATTGAATTTGGGAATGCTACCTGAAGCTTTGGAGTTTCAAAAATAGTAAAACCTCCCATAATCGAATTTCACTCATGTTTAACTTGGAATTTAAGGTTTAATTTGGAGTTTAAGGTTTAACTTGAAATTTTGTTCTAATATACAGGTTTAATTTTAAACACTCTTTGTACAAAGCTACACTCAGTATTAAGAGAATTCGGAAATGTTTACGAAATCTGATCAGTTGCTTAGATGGTTTTCTGTAAAAACATCTTCCAGCGAACTAGATTTAACACAAGAGTTAATTCTGTTGACCATATGGGACCATGGCCATAGGGTATTATATTACTTATTTTAACTCATACTTATTGTTTTTTTACAATAACAGAGGATAACCTGAGGAAAAAACATCAGTGCTCAGGTGTGCATGATACAATATGTATTGCATTAAATGCTGTTTTACGAAAAACAACTATTTCAAAAATATCATTGTATCTGAATCGAGACGATTCGAGAAGTTTTTTTTTTCGGAGACTGGAAAAATATAATAACATCGAAAAATAATCTAAGAGAATGTATGTTGCAGATTGCATTTTATTTATTCGACCCAACCAACCAAGATGATTATTGATAAAGTTCCCATCAATTTCCCTTGGCTGGAAGGCTACTTATAAAAGATACAGGGAATTTTACATGGGAACGTTGAAAAGTCCTTAAAAACTACAGGCGATTTTGTGAAAACGACCTGTGAAAATTGCCCGTTGCTTGCTGCTAATGAAATCCCTAAGATATGTTTATTTCTGCTTGCAGGGAAGGCCAGGATTCTGATTCAGAATGGCAAAGACTTTATGGCAGATGCTCCGGGAATGAGATTTATCACATACAGCTGAAAAATAGTAAATTTTTCGGAGAGTACGAGGGGAAGAGTTTCACATATGCGTCATTTCATGCACATCGGAAGTAAGTGAATATCCGAAAAAGTGAATATATTTGTCATTCCATGCACATGGGAAGTAAGTGAATATCCGAAAAAGTGAATATATTTTTAGTTGCTACATTTCATACACATCGGAAGTAAGTGAATATCCGAAAAAGTGAATATATTTGTCATTCCATGCACATGGGAAGTAAGTGAATATCCGAAAAAGTGAATATATTTTTAGTTGCTACATTTCATGCACATCGGAAGTAAGTGAATATCCGAAAAAGTGAATATATTTGTCATTCCATGCACATGGGAAGTAAGTGAATATCCGAAAAAGTGAATATATTTTTAGTTGCTACATTTCATACACATCGGAAGTAAGTGAATATCTGAAAAGGTGAATATATTTTTAGTTGCTACATTTCATGCACATCGGAAGTAAGTACAGGGTAATTTTTGAATAGTTTTTTGAATTGCACATCTGAAGTTGGTACATGATGGTCTGTATAAGTGAATAATATGTAAATACAGGGTGGTTCGAAAAAAGTTGAATATTTTTTTTCTTAATGTTCCATAACATTTAGTCGAAAATCCATCAGAAAGTACAAAAACACATTACGACTAGAGAAATAGAGTCTTATTAAGTTTGTCACCTATCATGCTTTAAATGGTGCATAAATATAGTTTTTGATAATTTATATCTTTATATTTTTGCTAGGTATGGAGTCAGTTTGGTTGGAATCCAAACAGAAAACAGTCCATCTATCCAATTGAATCCCGGACCTCGTCATATCATGCATGAGACCGATACATGCTTCTATATGAATTTAACAAAGGAGGAGAATTCTGCGTTCATACTAGCACACCCAAATCAGGAGAAAGACCAGCGATTGGACAAGCTCAAGATGGGTGATGGGAAGGCTTATTCAAAAGTAGCTAGTATGATAGCAAGCGTAGGTATGGCAACAATGCTTATGTTGCTTGGTTGCTATGTTGTTTTGTGTAACTATGAGGTCATAATTGATCAATATGATGATGTCACAATAGTCAACATACATCATATTTAAAATTAAAAATGACAGTGGATGTAAATATAGTTTGCATGGTCTGTAAAAATGTACATGTGCAAATAAATATACTTCCACTATGATAATTTCTGCATGTGATTGTCTTAAGCATTTCTAATTTGATTTTATATCTGATCGATAAAAACTGCTACTGTTTTTGGAATGAATTTGTTGTATCTCTAATTATAAAACATTACCGTACTGAGTATCTGCCATTGGTATCTGAATCTGGACTGCGCTGAGAAGATTTCAAAACTTAATTTCCATACTCGGAGAAAAAAAATATTTCAAAAATGTTGTGAATGAAAATAGAAGTCTTTCAAAATTCAGAACATTTTGAAAATATCCAATGTTTTTTCTTGAAAACGGAATTTTAAGTTCTTCTCATGTGAAAGAGCTACTCCAAAACTTCAGGATCCTACAAAAAACTATCCTGTGCCAACCCTAATTTTGACTATCCGATCTTTACATCTGATATTTTAAGCTTGATTATTGTAAATATTCATTTTTTTTAGTTTTTCTTTTTGAACCCTGTCAGTATTGTGAATTTCAGGTTCTATTATACTGGACTTAGATAAAGTTGGAGTAGATGAACCCCCTGTGGAGAGTGAACAGCTTGTCCAAAATATAGATGGAGATAATGGTTAGAGCCGTCTACAAAATATTGCACTAGAAATTCAGTCGTATATCGAGATTGGTCCCTTTAAGACCCATAATTATTAAGCTATATATACAATTAGGCCTTACGTACATTTAAGCCTGTGATACATTTAAACGCTGTATACATTTAAAGGCCCAGAGATTTGGACCCGGGTGAAGCTATTAATCAAGCTGTCACAGCTCAGCCAATCAGTGCTAATGTGGTCAGTTTAAATGTCCAGCATAAACAGAAACACATGGTCTGCTACAAGTGAGATACAGCCTTATGCTATGTTTGTTTACTTCTAGACGGATAAGAGATGCCCATTGGCTGAAATTTAAACTTTCAGTTATGCTAATGAGCATATTTACAAAAAGAAATTTCACAAAAACTAAACAACATTTTCAGAATTTGATTTGAAAGATTCATGAACCACTGTAACAAAAAAGAGCTTGTAACTCATCATAACAATCTTGTTATAGCAGAAAGTTAAAAAATTTTCTCATTTTGTTTGAACTGGACCTTTAAACTGCCATATTTGGCTTTTGTGGGCTGTTCCATCTGCCTTTTATACCCGCTCTCAGTCTTTAAGCCATGTACATTTAAGCCCCATGATATATTCCAGGTATTTCAATTGTTTCAATCAACTGATTGATTCACCTGAAAAAGCAAAACTCAAGAAGTACAGTTTTGGCCAATATGCATTTTATCTTTAGAAAAATCTGGATCAGTGGTAAAACTTTGAACGAAACTCAGAAATGATCAAAATAAACAAAAGGAGCATTTTGACCATTTTGCATTCTGAAATCAAAATGTACTGTTCCTCGATAGGGCCCCTCGATATGCGATGGAACAATTTAATCTAATCACTTGTTTCTAGAAATGACTATTATATTAATGTGCTCCGTGGGAAACCTGCATGTTGAATCTAATAAGGAGATTAAACTACACATTTCTGAGAGAACTCATGCATGAATGTTATGACCCGTATGACCCCCCATCCCCCAGGGATCACAGTGTCCATCTCAATTAGTTTTTTCAGAGAGTTCATTCAGTCTGAACAGCTATCTTCCCTTATGATGCTGTCCCCAGCTCCGATTTCGGTGATCGGCTAGTAAAAAAGGTTTGAGGGTATCATTTTGTTCCAGACACTCTCTAGAGTAAATTATCCTAACTTGAATAAAAATGTGTGGTAAGTAAATTCGCTATGGGCAGTTAAAGAGGCGCCATCTATTCATTTTCAAACAGAGGGTAGGGGTATAAAATAATTTTTAACATATTTTAATAGTAAAATGACATTGAAATACTAATAAAATCTTATCAAAAACGTTATTTACAATCAGTATGAATTTTCTTGTGTGAATTAGGGTGAAAATAAGGGCATATTTTGAAATTCACTACAGGGGCGCCACCTATTTTTGGGGACAGCATCATTAAGACTCAATGGGGAAAGTAAACTATGAACAAAACATATTCAAAAAGACGATAATTGCACACATTCATGCACAAGTTCTCTAAAACGTAGCTTAAACTCCCTATTGTACATTATTTCATTTTTAGTAGATCAGTATTTTAACTGTGTGTTAGATAGTCACTTACCACCTACACTGTCTATAAAATCAAAATATTAGAAAAGCATTTCAAGATCGTTCAACCACTCTACTGGTTGAAAATATATTTTCAAATAAGTGCAAATAGATTTTTAGCGGAGTTTCTCTAAGTGCTGATGTCAAGTGCTTGTAAAAGTGTGTCATCACATATAGAAATAGCCATTATTCTAAAAAATTGGTGTTACATTTAAGAAATATGAATATTTATACTGTAGGTAGTTTTTAGGATATAGTTTTCTAATTGTTATATTAAACATTGTCAAATGATTTTGATTCATTTTTATAATATTGTGACATATTTTAGAAATCATTTAAAATTCAGATGGTTGTGGATGTTGACTAAAATGAGTTATATGAAAATAAACTCTTTAGAGTATAAATGGGGTTCCTTAGATCTCGAATTAATAGTTGATGCACAAAATGAAGTATGAGATACAGTAAAACCTGTCTAATCTGAACCCCTCTTGAACCAGATAAAAGTGTTCAAACTAGCAGGTGTTCATATTTCAAGGTTTATCAACATGTGTGTCAATGGAAGATAACAAAATTGGGACCAAGAAAAAGTGTTCACATTGAGAGGTATTCACATTAAAAGACATTCACATTGAGAGATGTTCACATTAGAGAGGTGTTCACATTGAGAGGTGTTCACATTAGAGAGGTGTTCACATTGAGAGGTGTTAACATTGAGAGATGTTCAGATCATAGAGATATGTCTGTATTCATGTTTTACTGTAATTTATTCATTCACCAAAACCTTCCCTGATGTTACATCTAGTATTGTAGTTTATGTTTGTCAAGTTTTGTAATAAAATGGATAATGGTTTTAACTTCACAATAGCTGCAAAAACAACACTGCGCCAACCCCAAAGACACCCCCCCCCCACCTCTCCCCTTCTTGATATGGCAGAGGGGTACAGGAGAATAGAATTTGTGGTGCTAGTATTTCAGTTTTATTTGCATGCAATGCAATTATTAACATGTTTTTATGCAAATAAAGTATTGCATAAGTTGTTTTGATTTTTTAGCGGGGATTTATCTTTTACCTTAGATGGCGACAACCTTTAAAATAACAAATCTGCAAAATTAATGTTCATACACTTTTTTAATTAAACTAGAGAAATTCTCATCATTCTCTCATTCTCATCTTGTTAAACATGGGTCAAAATGGTAGACTGTCATTTTGAAAAAATGCCCATTTTTACAGTTTAGAATTTTGTCTTTATTTGTAGGGACTGTTGCCTTGGAGTTACAGCATACGTCAGTTAAGCCTCGGTCTATGTCGACGTCCAGTCAGAGTAATAAGGAACCATCGAATAAACTAGAACTCCCTAAAGGACTAACTATACAAAGCCTGGCAAAGAGGCCGAGTATTGCACCTGTACCGGCCATGTTAGAAGCAATTGGTAAGCTATACATAAATGATGAGAATATGTCATCACGATCCACGATAATTAGAACTTCTCAAGTATAAAAAAATGTATCATATTTTAATAACCAGTAGGGTAGTGTCAATTTAAATCAATATTGTGTTTGAGTTCAAAATAATTGAAATAGCCCGATATTTGCAGTTTGTCTTGATTTTACCAAATTAAATTAAAAATTTAGTTTTAGAAAGATCCTATTGAGAGGAAAAAGGTGCTATTATTACTATTTATTGTACATTTAACAAAGGTTATTGCATTTGTTTCCATGGCAACAGCCTTAGTTAAAGTCTCCTTTATCCTGAAATTTTTAACTATGGTACCCCAGCTTTCTAGTGGTTCTAAAATTCCACTTGCGGTCAATTAAATATATCAAAATGAACCTTCTTTATTTCAAGCATTTGGGTGATACATTTATTACTACTTTTTGGCATATTTTTCAACGCATCTGCATTTTTGTGTTTGCAAATGTTGCAGGTATAGAAATCAATGTCGAGAGTGACAGTTCAGAGGACGAACCTGACGCACAAGAGGAATTATGGGATGCCCCCGATTCTGAGTAAGTAACATCACTATAATCAAACAATTTCAATAGTCTTCGATTTCAAAATGACCACCAATTTTTGAAAAATCTGTCCATTCATAATTTCTCAACCAAATTAAATTATTTTTGCGATAACTTGTAAAATTATTCACCTTTCTCCTGCTGTATTTGCAGATGTTCAAAGTTAAACAAAAGGTAAATGAATTAGTTCAAGATAGGATATGTTTCCTAATATAGGCTTTTAGAATGTGTCTCTTAATTTGGGCTTATAAAAGTATATGTGTTTCTTAATTTAGGCTAATTGTGTCTCTTAATATGGGCTTATCAAATTGGATATGTGTCTCCTCATATTGGCAAAAGGGATATGTGTCTCTAATTTGGGCTTTTAGAATGTGCGTCCCAATGTGGGCTTATTGGATATTTGTCTCAAATATGGATGTATATATAGTGTGTCACCTAATATAAGCTTCTGAAGAGGTGTCTCCTAATCTGGACTTATGGAATATGTGCCTTCTTATTTGTCCTTATAAGATATTTGTCTCTTAATATGGGCTTATGAAATACATGTTTCCTAATATGGACTTATAGAATATGTGTCTCCTAATATGTCCTTATATGATATGTGTCTCCTTATATGGGCTTATACGTAGATGTGTGTCTCCTAAGATGGGCTTATAAAATATGTGTCTCCTAATATGGGCTTATAAAATATGTGTCTCCTAATGTGATCTAATAAGATATGTGTCATATAATATGGACTTATAGAATATGTGTCTCCCAATATGGATCTAGAAAATTGTTTCTCCACATATTGGCTTATAAAAGTATGTGTCTCCTAATTTGGGCTCATATTTTGATATGTGTCTCCTAATATGGTCTTATGATATATGTGTCTCCTAATATGGTCTCATTAGATATTTATCTCTTAATATGGGCTTTTAGGTTATATATCTCTATGTATGGGCTAATAAAGATATGTGTCTCATCACATGGGCTTATCAAATATATGTCCCCTAATAAGAGCTTAAAGAAAATGTGTCTGCATACATGAGCTTTTAGAGTATGTCTCCTAATATGGGCTTATGAAGATATGTGTCTCTTAATTTGGGTTTATAGAATAGTGTCTCCTCATGTGGGCTATAGAATATGTGTCTATTAATATTGGCTTATAGAATAGTGTCTCCTAATATGGGCTTATAGAATATGTGTCTACTAATATGGGCTTATGAAGATATGTGTCTCCTAATATGGGCTTAGAACATGTGTCTCTTAATTGTTGATTTTTATGTCACCACCAGAAGTGGCATTCTGTTAATATCTACTATTACTAGTATTACATGGCATATCATGTATCCATTCCCCCCTTGGATAAAAACCTTCAATTACACACCCCTTATATGCCTGATATCTGAAGTAACTAATGAATCATATATATATGTTTAACTCCGAATTAGTCAATACTGCATTCATTTAACTGTATTATAAAATCTAATCACTGTTTACAGCTATTACCGTGGATTCCCGCGGGTGACCCCATACATAGGTACCAGCCCTACCCTGTGTCATCTGGTTAGAGAGAAGCGTCCACTCTGCTGTCTACAGCTGTCACAGGTATTAACAAATTCATAATCAGAAATTTGCAAATAAATTGAGAAACAAGCTTGTCCCTAAACAAGAGGAGGGAAAACCCACAGTTCAAGGATGACCTCAACTACAATGGAAATTTTGTAGAGACGACCCTCGTCGCAAATTGGTCAAATGACATGGTAGGTAATGAAAACAAAATGGGGGGTTCAACTTGAAGGTTTTATTCTCTCAATGCTCGACCCAGAGTCTTCAACTTTAATGCTCGACCCAGAGTCTTCAACTTCAATGCTCGGCCCAGAGTCTTCAACTCCAACTTGAGTCAACTAATGACTTTTATTACTGCGGATCATGCCAATATGGGACTTTACAATTTTGTCTTGAGCAAATGTCTTTTTTGTGACAAATGCACGATCACATATTCTAGCACATTTAGCACATATGGGTGCCGTTACCACAAGGTTGCGAGTGTTTATTCATTTCTTTCTCTTGCAGATCTGTGAACACAACAACTATCGTCATGCAAAAGAATACAACTGGAGTCAGCCAGTGACGATCATAGCCGCAGATCACGCCAGTACGGGACTTTATAACTTTGTCGTTCCGCTCCGATCTCACTTCCTAGCCAAGGAAAAGCTTCAGCCTATTGTTTTACTGTTGGAGAGAAAGTAAGTTGGAGAGTCTAGGGGTGGGAGTGAATCTGATAATTGAAAAGGGTACAGGCCCTGAAAGAAATTCAATTAGTGGATCCCTTTCATTTGGGCCTTTTGAAAATTTGGACCGACTCATTAAATTTGATAATGTTTGTGAACTGAAAATTGACAAGGGTTTTCTTTCCCTACTCCCATATGTTAATCTTTTTGAATATTTTCACATTGTTGTTAGTTTTAATAGTGTTTCTGATTACTAAGCAACTTTTCTTTACAAAGGCCTTTTAAAAAAAATGAAGGCCAAAATGTCCATTGTAGGCTCAAAATGAAAAGAAGAAGAGGGCACAAAAATGAGATCTTAGAAATATTTTGTGACCTTGTTATTTTGTTTTTGACCTCATAGTTTTGTTTTTTCAGGCCAGATCTTGTATTCCTTGAGACAATATCCTATTTTCCAATGGTTTATTGGATGTGTGGAAACACTGAATGGTAAGTAACATAATACACTATCCATTAAAAAAAATACCATCTTATGGCTCAGTACTGTGGCGGTAGCTTTTGAAAATCGAGAGAAATACATGTATGCACATAAAATACAGGGAGCAGCAGGACAATGTAGTAGATTTTCTACATCAATTTTGTGGAGCTACGGCCACTGTACACCGGCCATAGAGAAAATGTGAGTGAGGCTTAAGTTTGTACGACTACTCGTTGCAAGAGACTATTTCATCTCTTTGAATTAAATGCAATTTTTGGTTTTTCATCGAGCCTCTTTCCAAGTAGACTCTGCATAGCTAAAACTTAGAATAGTACAGTAAAGACTGTATATTTGAACACTTTTGTAAATCTGAACAACTCTATATGAAGACTTTCTCTCTTGACCCCAATTTTGTAGTCTCCCATTGACTCCCACGTTATAGTAACCTTGATACAAATCCAGACTATTTTTGCCCTAACCTGTTTATTCACTGTACAGTGATTTCCCCGGCATAAACGCAAGTAGGCGTGGCACCCACCTGAGAATCCATTTGCACTTGAAAATGAGAAAATCATGAAAAATAGGCATATTTTGATCACCAATTTCGGTCCGATTTGTGAAAATGAGAATTTTGCACCAATTAAACTTCAACAAAAGGCCATGACATCTGAGATTGTTATTATGATCTTGTCAGCTTCAAAACTGTCTGTAATAGTCAGAGTGACATATCCACCAATATGGACACAGGGTAACTACAAATATACAGTATTTTGTTTACAGTTTAGATGACATACAAAATATTGTTTACAAGTATAACTGCATGTATAATATTGTTTACATGTATAACAGCATATATAATATTGTTTACATTTTAGATGACATACATAATATTGTTTACAGTTTAGAAGACATACATAATATTGTTTACATGTTTAATTTAATGTATAATATTGTTTACAGATTAGATGACATACATAATATTGTTTATAGGTTTAGTTGCATGTATAATATTGTTTACAGTTAAGATGACATACATAATATTGTTTACAGTTTAGATGACATACATAATATTGTTTACAGTTTAGATGACATACTAAGAGCTGGCATCAATCTGTCAGAGAACATTGTGTTCGTCAACAAAGAAAGTTCAAATTCAACAGAAGAGGAATTCATGTCTGACTGTAATACTATAGTAGGAGTACAGACTATATTCAGGTAAGACAAATACATAGTGAATATCAAATGGTTTCATGGATATGTTTTTATTCATTAGTGAATATCAAGAGAACACAGCATTAAGTGAGTGAATATAAATAAGAAGCTTGGAATTCAATAGCCAATGTCAAATGAAAAACAAAAATTGGACAATATTGAAATCTGGAAAAAAAATTCTAAAAAAGTGAAAAGCATGGATCAGTCATCAATGATGAAGTTCATGTGTTCATATTTTCAACATGAAGTTCGTGTAATGATGTAATATGTTTATTTCAGATTGTTTCCAAGTTGTACAATTATAACAGAGCTATCACAGTCCTCAAACATGAAGTTCATATGTTCATATTTTCAACATGAAGTTCATATATGTTATATGTTTATTTCAGATTGTTTCCAAGTTGTACAATTAGAACAGAGCTATCACAGTCCTCTAACATGAAGTTCATATGTTCATATTTTCAACATGAAGTTCATATAATGATGTAATATGTTTATTTCAGATTGTTTCCAAGTTGTACAATTATAACAGAGCTATCACAGTCCTCAAACATGAAGTTCATGCAGTTTAGAGCTAACGATACAATATCTCTACAAATGTCAAAAGTGGAAAAGGTTTGAACCAATTTAGTCATTTTCTTTTAATTTATTTTTTTGTCACCTCCAAGAGTGATGACATATTGTTATTGTCTCCACCATTTGACTAAAAGGATTATTTTCCCAGGTGTGTCTCATGGATTCTTCCTATGTGGTTGCATCTAAATCTTTCCAATGTGGTTGTATCTATATTTTTCCAATGTGGTTGCATCTACATTTTTCCAATGTGGTTGCATCTACATTTTCCAATGTGGTTGCATCTACATTCTTCCAATGTGTTGCCAAAAATCAAATCAAATACACTTGATATTGTAATTTCCAAATTGACTCATTCTTTCACAATTGATGATGCCATATGGACCCATCCATTATTTCTGCATTATGAAAAATTTGTACATTTATAAGTATAATAGATGAAACATAAGTACAATAATAAATCAGGATATATCCTCTGATGTTTACTCTGATACAATGTGTACAATTATAAGTACAATAGATAAAATGTAAATACAATAAATCAGCATATTTGCTCTGATGTTTACTCTGATACAATGTGTACAATTATAAGTACAATAGATAAAACGATATACAATAAATTAGCATATATGCTCTGATGTTTACTCCGATACAATATGTTCAATTATAAGTACAATAGATAAAAATAAATACAATAAATCAGCATATATGCTCTGATATATACTCCGAGACAATGTGTACAGTTATAAGTACAATAGATAAAACATAAATACAATAAATCAGCATATATGCTCTGATATATACTCCTAGACAATGTGTACAGTTATAAGTACAATAAATAAAACAGAAATACAATACATGAGCATATATGCTCTGATATACTCTAATACAATGTGTACAGTTATAAGTACAATAAATAAAACATAAGTACAATAAATCAGCATATATGCTCTGATATACTCTAATACAATGTGTACAGTTATAAGTACAATAAATAAATCATAAGTACAATAAATCAGCATATATGCTCTGATATATACTCTGAGACAATGTGTACACTTATAAGTACAATAGATAACACATAAGTACAAAAAATCAGCATATATGGTCTGACATACTCTAATACAATGTGTACAGTTATAAGTACAATAAATAAAACATAAATACAATAAAACAGCATATATGCTCTGACATACTCTAATACAATGTGTACAGTTATAAGTACAATAAATAAAACATAAGTACAATAAATCAGCATATATGCTCTGATATATACTCGGATATGATTGGGTCTTCTTGTGAGGCATTATAACCTTTGCAGAATGCTTCTTCTCTAATCCCCAATTTGTATTTGGCGTAATTCCTTCCATAGAAAAATAAAAGTTCTCTTCCTGGTTTTACATCTCGGATGGTTCTGAAGTATACCTGGAAGTAGGGATTTCATATTTATTAACATGTAAATTAATCATTATACAATAACAATTATATTATGAACTTCTATTTTGGTAGGAAAAATTCAATTCATAATTCAACCGCTGTACATTGCATTTGCTCAACATTCAACTCCAAAAACGTACATGCTCTCTACATTGCATTGGCTCAACATTCAACTCCAAAAATGTACATGCTCTCTGCATTGCACTGGCTCAACATTCAACTCCAAAAATGTACATGCTCTCTGCATTGCATTGGCTCTACATTCAACTCCAAAAACGTACATGTTCTCTACATTGCATTGGCTCAACATTCAACTCCAAAAACTTACATGCTCTCTACATTGCATTGGCTCAACATTCAATTCCAAAAACTTACATGCTCTCTACATTGCATTGGCTTTACATTCAACTCCAAAAACTTACATGCTCTCTACATTGCATTGGCTCAACATTCAATTCAAAAAACTTACATGCTCTCTACATCACATTGGCTCAACATTCAACTCCAAAAACTTACATGCTCTCTACATTGCATTGACTCTACATTCAACTCCAAAAACTTACATTTTCTCTACATTGCATTGGCTCTACATTCAGTTCAAAAAACTTACATGCTCTCTACATTGCATTGGCTCAACATTCAATTCCCAAAACTCACATGCTCTCTACATTGCATTGGCTTTACATTCAACTCCAAAAACTTACATGCTCTCTGCATTGCATTGGCTCAACATTCAACTCCAAAAACTTACATGTTCTCTACATTGCATTGGCTCAACATTCAACTCCAAAAAGTCTCTGGGACAATTTAGGAACCTTGTCCAGTTAGACATTTCTATAGGACCAGCATCTCGGCCAAATAATCTTTTCCCAAGTTTGTAGATCTGAAATCGAAACAGTAAAACCAGTATATAAAACACCTCCCCATGTGGACACTTTTAGGGTCCCTTAGTCACCACCATTAGTGGTGACATATTGTTATAGTCTCTAACTTTTTTATGGAAAGTGGTTGGCATTTGAAACAAGTTTTGTCTAACAAATTGCAGGTGCATACATTTTGCATGAAATTGCCTTACCCAATTTGGAGTAAATTTAATTAATTCAGTTTTTTAATTAAAATTTTGAGTTTAAAATGATAGTGTTTTTCGCTTTTAATTGAAATTTTTCTTGTAAAAATATGATAAGATTTCCTTTACCAAAATTTAGATTATAATTGATAAAACTATATGATGAGGAAAACTCACAGTAAAAACATATTCTCCTTTATTGTATTGCTGAAATGATCTGTATACCACATCACCGTCATATGGGCCAAAATATGTTCCCTTGGGGATGAAAACATCGGAGAAGACTCCCGTCCCTGCATTAGGAATAGTTGATTTAGCTAATCTTAAGCCGGGAGGAAGTGTTTTATATGCTCTGTCACTGGTGTTCCAACCTACAGGGTTGTCTTCTATGACATCATCATCATCTGTATAACACAAGAGTTCATCGCAGTCCCAGTCACCTGTGTATATTTTACGACGAGTTATTGTGTCGTATTGTTGCTTAAATGGTCTTTGAACTTGTTGTTCATTTTGTTTTGTTGATTTTGACAACTGGTTCTCAACCATTGGTGATTTTGACAACCGGTTTTTAACCGTTGATGTTTTTAACAACCGGTTTTCAACCGCTTCAATCTGCTTTTTTTGTCGGTCATACTCTTGCTGAGAAGATCTTTTATTCTGTTGTTGCTTTTGTTCTAAACTATCAACAATTTTTCTCATATCGAGATTCTGCATGTCGAGTTTTCGATTCAGAATTCTCAACATTTGTGCCAATTCCGACACAGTTGAATCCAGTTCTTTTATTTTAGATTTCACGTGTTTGATTTCACTTTTTAGCTTTTTGTTTACTGAATGCGCATCTCGTGTTGTTTTTGCGCCACTTGCAACTGAAAAATATCAAGTACTCTTATTACGTAGGGATAATTTTCAATGTGTATGATTATGCTTGTGTTAAAATACATGATGTGAACATTTACGAGAACACCACCAACTTAATTGAAGGCCAGTGCTGGTTGGAACTGGCAAGTGCTGGCTGAAACTTATTGTTTTGAGGTCTTCAAGTTAATGAAAACACAACATGTAGTTCTTCAACTCGAAAACTGCTCTACCTTTAGGTTATACAAATAAATATGACTAAAAACAGGGCTTGAAACTCCCAGCTGCCTGACTGATGATGGCAATTCCTTTCCACTCCTGAAAGTGAACTTGAAAAAATGAATTGCAGTTTGAAAAAAGACTGAATATGAAAAATGTTGCGTCCTGGACACTGGACTAAAAAGTAGGGGTGGGACGGATAACTGAAATACTGAAAAACCGCGGTTCATAGCCTTTGGATCGGTTTTCGGATCATGGCCCTACTTTCGGATCAGCTTTTCGGATCGTTTTCGGATTAATATTTCATTGGTCAAGTATCAATAAAACAGTTAAAAACACTGTTTTACAGCAACATTTTTGATATTCCTAGTCCCTACCTTGTCTGTCTTGTCTGTTGCTAGCTCACTCGTTTGCTAAATTCGTTTCGTATCTGCGTATTCGTATCCCTCGGTAATCAATCATGTGGTCCCTGGTACTATATTCTTTAGTCGTGTATTCTAAATAATATGTATTGTTCATGAAATACTATAACATAAAATTCCATCTATAAAATATTGTTATAACAAAGACAAAGCAGCTAATCGTGTCAATCAATACAAATCCTTAAAATGAATGAACCGAACCGAAAAAACCGAACCGACGGCTGATGATCCGAAAAAACCGAACCGAACCGAACCGAAACGAACCGTCCCATCCCTACTAAAAAGCATGTGATATTCATCAAGGAGATATTGCCCACCTTCATATTTATAAGATGATAAACAAACTACTACAACAATACATACCATTTTTATCCCGTCTTTTCTCAGTCTTTTGTTGAACATTGTCACTTTGTTGTCTATGAAGTGAAGGTGGTCTAACTGGTTCCACATTTTCTCTGCTTTCTAATGGTAAGTTACCTTTAGAAAGCCAGATAGAAAGCATACCAAACAGGAGAATAAAGAAGGCAAAGCTTGCAAGCTTTGTCCTGTGTTTTTGCCAAAAATGCTTCTTCACCTTTCCCATTGTTTATTCTGAAAAGAATAATGAATGTGTCTTGATTTATATCACATATGGAAAGCATGTCTCATTTTGATGTCTAATTTTAATTTTGAGAGACCCTACATACAAATAGTTGAGAATTTACGCTTAATTGCAATGGTATTTGACACTTAATTGCAGTGGCATTTGACACTTAATTGCATTGGTATTTGACACTTAATGGCAGTGTCATTTGACACTTAATTGCAATGGCATTTGACACTTAATTGCAATGGAATTTAACACTTAATTGCAATGGTATTTAACAGTTAATTGCAATGGTATTTGACACTTAATTGCTATTGTATTTGGCACTTAATTGCAATGGTATTTGACACTTAATTGCAATGGTATTTAACACTTAATTGCAATGGTATTTGACACTTGATTGCAATGGGATTTGACACATAAAAATTGCTTGATGTATCCGATTCCAAATGAAATTTTATATATAAAGTAATAAATTCAACAATTTTAAAAGCTGTTTAAAGGTATTTTTTAAATTCTACTCACCTTCGGAAAGTTCCTGAAAACATGCAAATGTTTAAATACTGACAGTCATTATTCAAATAGTTCTTAAATGCATGCAAACATTTTTCATATCCTGGCAAGCATTGCTGTTTTTCCTCCTTGCTCACATGTATGCATGCATTGCATGGTTCTATATTTTTAAATGTATAGTATATATACTATATCACTAGTAATCATTTTTGAAATAATCCTATTTCTTTTCAGTGATCTTTTCATTGCTTTGATAAATAATGTAAAGGTTAATCTGGATTATCTCAAATTGAGATTTTGTCAAAGACCATTTGGAAGTCATTGGTTGTGTCATTGTATGAATTATGGGATTTACTATAGCTAATTCCTTTACAGGAAGTTTTGGAGGGAGAGAGAATTCATTTGGAAAGCATTGTATGAATTATGGGATTTTTTAAAGCTTTAATTAATTCCTTTACAAAGGAAGTTTTGGAGTAAGAGTGAATTCTGGATTTTTATGAACTTTATGAACTCTGCATGTTGTTCTACATGTTAATCTTCATGTTAATCTAGGGACTTTCATAAGCCTATCCAAACAGTTTCTGGATTGTGATATTGGTTCTCGGTTCGAGGGGGAGGGGGATGTTAGACATTGTTTCTTTTCATGTTAGATCATGGTTTTGGGATATATAGGGCCTACTTTTCTTATGACAGATTTACACTTACAGTTTGCTTTTCTTGTTGGGTTTCTTTAAAGTTTTTAGTCACCCTTCCCTTTGGCATTTGTGCTTATATATTCTTATTTATTAGTCATGTAAGGAAGGTTAAGGTTTTTGTTTTAAGACATGGAGAATTCTCTTCCTCTGTGGGGTTGTCTCCCCTTAACAGTATTTTCTTGTTTGTTAATTTTAAAAAAGTATACATGGAACTTTGAAATCTAAAAATATGGATGATATCTATTTTACCCTGAATAGATCATACTTCCCTTGCCCAGTGCCTCCCATCCAATGCCCTTTTCCCTGTATTGTTTCTTAACCATACAAAAAATGCATTTTCTTTATTTTGCTCTCTTTTTTTCCAGAAAGAGAAGGATAAAGGCTCATCATTGTCATACATGTTCCGCCTGCCTTTTGCTGCCGGAAATGTGTTCAGCGCCAGTATGCTAGATACTCTCCTTTATCAAGCATTTATTAAGGACTACATCATCACATTTGTGCGCCTGCTTCTTGGCATAGATCAGGCACTTGGCTCAGGGCATTTATCTTCGGTAAGTTCAGCCATTGGTGGACATGGTTGGAGGCTTTTTAATATTTTAATTTTTTCTGTGACCAAGAATGAGTCAAAAATGCTTAAATTTTGGTGGGGCCTAAGAGTGAGAAAGATATGTTTAATTTTTGGTGGAGCTTAAAACAGACAAAAAATGCTTAATTTTTGGTTGGGCCTAAGACAGACAAAAAATGCTTAATTTTTGGTGGGGCCTAAGAGTGAGAAAGATATGCTTAATTTTTGATGGGGCTTAAGATGACAAAAAATGCTTAAATTTTGGTAGGGCCTAAGAGTGAGAAAGATATGCTTAATTTTTGGTGGGGCTTAAGAGTGAGAAAGATTATGCTTGATTTTTGGTGGGGCTTAAGAGTGAGAAAGATTATGCTTAATTTTGTTGGGGCTTAAGACAGACAAAAAATGCTTAATTTTTGGTGGTGCTTAAGAGAGAGTCAAAAATGTTTCATATTTTTGATGGAGCCTAAGAGAGAGCCAGAAATGCTTAATTTTGGGTAGGCCCTAAGAGTGAGCCAAAAATGCTTAGTTTTGGATGAGGCCTATTTAGGGTGAGCCTCTTTTTCTAAACTGAACTCAGTTTTTAGAAACTTTTCGAAAAAAGTTAATCCAAACTAGATTTTTTGAACACCATTTCTTTATTAATGTGAATTAAAAAAATTATTTATTAAACGATTTGCTTTCAGATGAAGATTACAAAAGATGATCTTTGGATTCGAACTTATGGTCGCTTGTACCAGAAACTTTGCTCAACTACCTGTGAGGTCCCCATTGGTATATATCGCACACAGCCTGTCGTCTGTAAAGACTCTTCTAATGTAAGTTTACCCTTTTCAAGCAAGATTGATTTTTCCTTCCTCTTAATAAAACGAATAGATGTCTGAAATACTGTAGATACACTTATTTTGATGTAACTTAATTTGAGGGATTTGCTTAATTTCGAATATTGGCGGCGATTTAATTTGGACAAAAATTCCAAACTGAATTTTGACAGATTTTTAATTTGGCGGATTTTCTGAATCCGCCCATCCATCAAATTAAAACGGGAGCCAAATTAAGTGTATCTAGTGAATATACTTGCTAAGCCAATTGGTATCTGTCTTACCTCAAATATGATTCTCTTTATATATGTCTGTTGTCCAATACAGGTGATTCTTTGGAGCTGATTGGATAGAAGAAATGCATGTACCCCTATAGAACCTCCTCTCAATGTAAAATTGTTTTTAGACTGAGAAAAGAAATGCATGTACCCCTATAGACCCCCCTCTCAATGTAAAATTGTTTTTAGACTGAGAAAAGAAATGCATGTACCCCTATAGACCCCCCTCTCAATGTAAAATTGTTTTTAGACTGAGAAAAGAAATGCATGTACCCCTATAGACACCCCTCTCAATGTAAAATTGTTTTTAGACTGAGAAAAGAAATGCATGTACCCCTATAGACCCCCTTCTCAATGTAAAATTGTTTTTAGACTGAGAAAAGAAATGCATGTACCCCTATAGACACCCCTCTCAATGTAAAATTGTTTTTAGACTGAGAAAAGAAATGCATGTACCCCTATAGACCCCCTTCTCAATGTAAAATTGTTTTTAGACTGAGAAAAGAAATGCATGTACCCCTATAGACCCCCTCTCAATGTAAAATTGTTTTTAGACTGAGAAAAGAAATGCATGTACCTCTATAGACCCCCTCTCAATGTAAAATTGTGTTTAGACTGAGAAAAGAAATGCATGTACCCCTATAGACCCCCTCTCAATGTTAAATTGTTTTTAGACTGAGAAAAGAAATGCATGTACCTCTATAGACCCCCTCTCAATGTAAAATTGTTTTTAGACTGAGAAACTGAACATTTTATCATCTTTAGATATTTTAATACTTTATTTATTTAAATGTAGAATCAGACCTATAAGTGATGAAAAGATTACAAGAAATATGTTTGTTTAACCTCTTGACTACCTGGAGTGACGAGATATCTCGTCACCTCAGAAATGACCTTAAAACCCAAAGTGACGAGAAAATCCATCACAAAATATTTCACTAAAACTGCTCCTATTTGAACAATTTTCATCCAATTTACACAAAACTTGTTTTAAAATTTGTAGAAATGATCCCCGCCGTCTGATTTTACTAAATTGAGCATCTTAAGTTGTAGATGTGTGGAGTAAAATGTCAAAAGGTGGCTAAAATGAAAAATTCTCTGGTTTCAACCGATTTTAGAGCCTGGGACTCAAGAGGTTAACCGAAACTTCCCTCCAAAAGTTAGGCAACCCTAACTCCCCCATTGGATTACATGTTAAAGCATCTTCATGTTTTTCTTTGCATAACCTGCAGAGAATGTGCTAAAATGTCCTTATGTGCTAAAAACCTTAGATTTTCCCGGAATAATGTTTGAATTTTTATAGAAAATAGACATGACATAATGATATGTAATATTTTAAAAGTAAAATAATTTTGGGGAAGGATACTCACTACTAGATCTGATTCTGTCTTTAATATTTTCCTGTGTCTGGTGAACACACTGTACTGTTACAATTGTGGTGCATATGAATGGCTGGCTGCATCGATATGTTTTGCTACTATCCCACCAAACGAAATAAAGGAAGGGACACTATAAATTAAAAATGTTTGGTGGGATCTGCTACCAAACTTAAGTGCCATTGTCTAGTATTATTTTTGATTTCTGTCTTCAAGTTTATCTATATGTAATATTAAGTAAATGTATTTTCCTTTAGGCTCAGAAAGTAAATACCCGGTCCTCAGACTCTGCTTTTAAAAATTCATTTGTAAGTTCAACTTTCACATGTTTGTCTAGTGTGTCTTTAACATTACTATGTGTGCAAATTTTACGCTTCGTACAATGTGTGGAATTTTCATTACTAAGTGTGGCACTTTCATTTCTAAGTATGGCACTTTCATTACTATGTGTGGCACTTTCATTACTAAGTGTGTTACTTTCATTACTAAGTATTGCACTTTCATTACTAAGTGTGGAACTTTCATTACTAAGTATGTCACTTTCATTGCTAAGTGTGGTACTTTCATTACTAAGTCTGAAACTTTCATTATAAGTGTGGCCCTTTCATTACTAAGTGTGATACTTTCATTACTAAGTATGGTACTTTCATTGCTAAGTGCGGTACTTATATTACTAAGTATGGCACTTTCATTACTAAGTATGGTACTTTCATTACTATGTATGGCTTTTTCATTACTGTATGTGCCATATTCATTGCTATGTGTTTCACTTTCATTACTCTGTGTCTTTACTTAGTGCTTCAGTTCCATTACTTTGTTTGCCATTTTCATTACTGTGTTTGCCATTTTCATTACTATTTGTAATACTGTCTTTGCTTAGTGTTTCGCTTTCATTATTATGTGTAATACTGTTTTTACTCAGTGTTTTATTTTCATTACTCTGTGTGTTCATTATTACTTTAGTGTTACTTTCGTGTGTCATTTTGCTTTTTCATTTCTAGATATACCACACTCATTACTGTATTTCACTTTCATTACTATATGTCCCACTTTCATTACTATATGTCCCACATGTCCCACTTTCATTAATATATTTCTCAATTTCATTACTATATGTCCCACTTTCATCACTATCTGTCCCACTTGCATTACTATATGTCCCACTTTCATTACTATATGCCCCACTTTCATTACTGTATGTCCCACTTTTATTACTATAGGTCCCACTTTCATTACTATATGCCCCACTTTCATTACTATATGTCCCACTTTCATTACTATATGTCCCACTTTCATTACTATAGGTCCCACTTTCATTTGATTTCACTTTCATTACTTTGATGACTTATGCCTCGGATCATGGCAATGGGAGCTGTAATTCCTGCGTTCTTAAGCTTAAAAATTCATAAAAAGCATTTCAAATGTTTTCACACAGTCATGGTGACAAATCACATGGGGGTTAAGGCCCATGGCTAAGGAGGTCACTTTTCAAAAAATTCCAGGGGGTTTTCTTTTGGCAAAAATCACTTGAAAAGTGCTCAGAATCGTGAAAAACTGCATGATTTTGAAGCAATTTTGCGCTGGGGGCGAGAGTTGCTTGTATCCCTTGAACCCCCCTTGCTAGGGGCCTGGGGTTGATGGCTCTTTGTGTATACCATACATTATAACTTGTACCATTTGTTCCAGGCTTCACTTAACTGTATGGACGATGACTCTGATCACGGGAGCGGGAGTTCAAATCCTGAGAGGGCGGAGATATCTGCCATGGTAACCAGCCGAATGGACAGCATGGAAATGCCTGTTCATGACTATGGTATGTACCTAGCTCTAGCCATAAACTTCTCTTCTCCCTTAACTATCTTGAAAGTAGTTTGCGATTCTTAAAATAAATCATTAATTGAGTGGTTGGCCACAATACTAGCCCGACTAATGAATACTTAACAAAGATATTTTAGTGATTGAGAACAACAATTTTTTCAAATATTTAAAGTTAATATCCTTGTTTGTTTGTAGATGATGTAAGTGACAGAAGAAACAGTTTTTCGTATTGCATTATCAACCCTAGCTATGATCTCAAACTGGAAAAAGATGATATCATGTAAGTTATTTTGTTTTCATGTAAGTTATATTGTTATCATGGAAGTTATGAAATGTTATCATGTAAGTTATATTGTTATCATAGAAGTTATCTTGGTATCATGGAAGTTATCTTGTTATGGAAGTTATCTAGTTATCATGGAAGGATCTTGCTATCACATTAGTTATTATTTATTGATATTGTCACTACTTGTCAAAACTTGTCTCCAACTTTTATGCAATAGTGTTCGGTGTCCCGCATTCAGTGTCTGTAACAAGTGACAGGTGGTGACATTTTGCATGTTAATGCTTTTTATTAAGTTATATTGTTATCATCAAAATAATCTATGTGTGAGTTATAATTAAGTTGTTATCATGCAAGAATTTTTGGTATCTTGTTATTATGGAAGTATGACATCATTATGTAAATTGTCTTGTTATCATGGAAATATGACATCATATAAGTTATGTTGTTATCTTGGAAGTACGTAGTCTGTCTTATTATCATGGTAGTTATCTTGTTATAGTGGAAGTTACCTTCTCAGAAATAATGTTACCTTTTAAGTTTTTGATTTATGAATCACGAGCCTATACAAAATGAAAATGTTATATTTTTTAAAAATAGCACTATTTTCATCATTTTCAGTTACTTGATCCGTCCAAGCTCTTTGTCACCCACAGCATCCCCCCTTATAGATGAACGCAAGATGAGATTCAAATACAAGAGAGAAGAACCCACTGGCGCAGATAAAGAAACGTCAGAAAGGTTAAAAGACAGCTTCAAGGTATAGCAAAGCAAAAATACAGGACTCTTACCCTTTACTCATAAGTCTGTAAGACATTTTTCTCAAAAGGGGTACATTTTTTCCAAATGCTTTGATTTTGGATGCACAAATCTCAACTGAATTTTATGTTTGATCAATTAAGGCCATTTCTCCTCGAACATGGGTGTGGTCTTGAAGTTAATATCTAGAGCACAGTAGCCTATATAAGAAGTTGGATTTTGTCTTAGATGTTAATAAAAGATTTGAACCTCTCATAACATATTGTGTGATTTTTATCACTTTTTGTGTCACGCTGTAGATAATGTGATTTTTGTCTTGTAGGTTGAGATGCATGATCCTAGGCCAACATGTTCTAATGATTCAGAGGAAGGACTTTGTGGTACAGTAGTCTGAAGGAAATATTGTCCTCAGGGATGATTGTCCCCCTTGAAATTGGTCCTTATTGACCTAATTGAGTATCTTAAGACTACATGCTCTAATGATTCTGGGAAAGGACTGAGTGGAACGACTAAGAGAGAATTGTCCCCAGGGACAATAAGGACAATATTTCCTCTAAGTTTCTAGCCTTTTATGGCCATGATGGTACCTTTAGGCAATATGCTCTTACGCTTATAAGAAAGTGCTATGTGGTACTATAGGCTGAGGAAATAATGCTACCAAAGGGATAATTGTCCCATTTTTGGGACACCCTGGGCCTGTTTGAGTATCTCTATCTTTAACCCTTTCCCGACGTGAATATAAGAAGAAAATGTTGTCCCCAGTGACGGATAAGTAAGAGTGTTTTTTAGGGGAAAACTGCAAAATACCTATGCCCTGGGACCTATACCTTGGATTTCATCACTGATATACAATTCTTAGTAAGGATTATCACATAAGAACAACTTGTCAAAATTTGGTGTAAAAATACTGAATAGAACTGGAGATATTGTCATTTCATTGATGTATATAAATAAAAATAATGGTGCCAAAAGGAGCCTATCGTCCTGAAAGGTATTATATAATAGGGCTCCATATGGAGCCTATCGTCGTGAAAGGGTTAATGATTCAGAAGAAGAACTTCAATGATCTTCAAGAAGATATTGTGAACTACCAGGAAAGGGCCATCATAAGTATTCCAAACCTATTGGCCATAATTGAATTATGGACCATTTGTCCTGTTATTTCCCAATTCAGAGTTCATACTGAAATTATTTGGCTCTGACCAGTGCTTATGCCAGCCTCTCCCTCATGGATTATGGTCAACAGCGATCATGGCCCTCATGGGTTTCACTGGCCATAATTAAATATTAATTAAAACGGGAAATATGTTGTGATTTGGCCACTGTATTGAATGATAGAGGTGGGTCATTTTTGTCTATTTACCTTTCACCTCAATACCATTTGCATTTGGACTTGATCCACACATTAGTTTATTTTATGGCCCCCCTGGGTTAATTGTCCCCAATGTAATTCATCACAGAAATTTTCAGAAAATTGTATCAACTTATTTTAAAAGAAAACCTACTGCACCAATGTAATACAGTACCAATGTAATACAGTACCAATGTAATACTGTACCAATGTAATACAGTACCAATGTAATACTGTACCAATGTAATACAGTACCAATGTAATACAGTACCAATGTAATACAGTACCAATGTAATGCTGTACCAATGTAATACAGTACCAATGTAATACAGTACCAATGTAATACTGTACCAATGTAATACAGTACCAATGTAATACTGTACCAATGTAATACTGTACCAATGTAATACAGTACCAATGTAATACAGTACCAATATAATACAGTACCAATGTAATGCTGTACCAATGTAATACAGTACCGATGTTATACTGTACCAATGTAATACAGTACCAATGTAATACTGTACCAATGTAATACAGTACCGATATAATACAGTACCAATGCAATACAGTACCAATGTAATACTGTACCAATGTAATACTGTACCAATGTAATACTGTACCAATGTAATACAGTACCAATGTAATACAGTACCAATGTAATACTGTACCAATGAAATACTGTACCAATGTAATACAGTACCAATATAATACAGTACCAATGTAATACAGTACCAATGTAATGCTGTACCAATGTAATACAGCACCAATGTAATACTGTACCAATGTAATACAGTACCAATGTAATACTGTACCGATGTAATACAGTACCGATATAATACAGTACCAATGTAATACAGTGCCAATGTAATACAGTACCGATGTAATACTGTACCAATGTAATACAGTACCAATGTAATGCTGTACCGATGTAATACAGCACCGATGTAATACAGTACCGATGTTATACAGTACCGATGTTATACAGTACCGATGTAATACAGTACCGATATCATCTCCAATGGGATGGGGTGTTTACTGAAATGGCCAGTTTTGACATTATAGACTTTTTGAACCTTGAATCATTAATGCAGACACTTCCCTCCTTAAGTTTGGAAGTCAGAAATCCCATTTTGGATTATGCAATGTTTGGCAATTTAAAAAGGTTTCATAAATTTGTCATTTGTATTGTACATGTATCGTAACAAAATTTGTATTTTTACATTGACATGCTTTGGTATACCATCCAATGGAATTTTTCCTGTTGCCAAACTTATGGAGGGGAGTGTATACAATCGCAGTCATAATTACCATTTTCTTTCTTGTTTGGGATGAGATAAGAATATATCGGAGCTTATTTTTGTAAAGCTGTATTATAATGCTGAGCAGGGTAAACGTAGTAGACTATCTCTCCTTTACTCTTTTGATTTTTAGTAAAACTGCTCAAGAATAATTTTTCCACACAAAACTATCTTGGCCCATAGCCAAGTTTAATGAGGATGAGGGGGAGAATTGGGGGTGTCAGCAAACCCCCCTCCCCCCTAATCAAAAATTTTCAAGTGATTTTGGGTCAAAATTGTCAAATGAGAACCACCCTGGAAATTTTTCTAAAAATGAACCCCCACCTTGGCAATGGGCATGAGACCATAAGACCCCCGCCCTCTCACATGCCATTGGCTTTTCTATCTGTTTCCAGTGCATGGAATGTTTGTGACTAAATTCAGATATCTTTACTATAATATTCAGTTATCTACATACAGTATGCCTGTATGCGATTCACTCACTGCTTTGTAAAAAACTGCCCAAATTGATGTTATGTTCAATCCATATATATATATATATGATATATCCTTACGATCTGTTACCTGAGACATATATTTTTATATGACTTTATACTGTATCTATTATATATTTTATTGTTTCATGTATTTATTTATGGTTGCATAATAAATGTTTTTAAGCATATTAATATAAATGTATGTAATACATATATATGTAATATTTACACTTACATATTGTGACAAAAATGAAGTGCAATTGCTTTAATTTGAAAAAGTTATGAACTTATTCACGAACTCAAGTAATTCATGAACATTTCAGGAACTTTTATGAACATGAATGTTTCATGAACTCATAATGAACCTGATATGAACTCAATTTTTTCCTGACCTCATTCATGAACTTGAACAAGTCTTTATCTCTTTATTTAAGTAGGAAATAGTTTATTACATGTTTAATGTTATAATTACAATACTTTAGTCTGGCTTGTTTTTCTGTGATATTTCTTATTTTATTTACAGATATAAGATATGCGAAAAAGTCGAGTCATTTTAGTCATATTGTTTGTTTGCATTGACATTCACGAATTGTAGAACTGGGATTGACATAAAGTAGTACAGTAAAACCTGTGTAAGTGGAACACCTTTTGTTGGTTCAATGTGTTCCACTTATGGAGAGTCGGTTTGTAATTCAAATGTGTTCCACTTATAGAGGCTCAATTAACATTAAGTTAATAGGATAAGATACTGTGAAAAGTGTTCCACTTTGGTGGTGGTCCACTTACAGAGATGTTACAAGTTTTACTGTGCAGAAGTGTTCAACCTGTAGAGGTGTTTCACTTTACAGGTTTTACTTTATATTAATGATCTAATCATTTGGCAGTGTTAATAAAATGCAGAGCTATATATTAGTACTAGTCAGATTTTAGGGTGTTTGTTTATACTATGCTAAATGTTTAGCAAATGAATATTCCTGAGAGAATATTGAAATGGAAAATCAAAAATGGGCTTTATATCATAGATGCTTTAATATTTGATACATGATATGTGTATATTGAATCTATGGCAATCATTTTTTGTCATTTTTGTATTTTTTTCTTCAAAATGGAAGAATTTCTAATTTTAAAGTACTCCAAATTGAAAACCAAAAAATAGTTTGTTATTATATATTAGACGGATATGTCACAAACATTATTCGCAAAGATTTTGAGTTTGAAAAACATTGCTCACATAGCAAGAATCTTTATTGCATTTTAGACGTTATTAAAAGTGCATTTGCAAACACGGACGTTAAATACTTTCTGCGAAGCTCATAGGCTTAAGATGTATAACATATACTGAAGACTGGGAGTTTCGGAGAACGTATTTCACGTCCGTGTTAGCACCTGAACAATGTAACGTCACTTAATAGATGAGCAATTTCTTTCAAGTCTGCGTTTTTAGGAAACTAGCTTTTTACCAAAGTATGTCAATGGTGCAAATCTAATGTTGTGTTATTAACCAAATGTTTATATTTCAAAATATTCTTAGAATTATGATTTCCTAAAAGGTTGGTCAATAAACGTGTATGATTTTAAGTGTTTTACTCATTTTTGAGTGGGTTACTCAGATTTTCAGTATAAAATCTTGTTTGATGTTTAGACTTCATTATACTAGTAAGTCTACAATATTACTTTCTAAAACCGTACTGCAGTCTTAAGTTATTGTATACTGTGTATATATTATTGTCTACTTTGTATTGTATATTGTATACCCTACAAATGCCTAAGGTAATTGTACATAAGTAACAAATAATATTATTGTATACAATTATTCTTTATTTTACATGTTTGAACCTTAAGTACATTGTATTTGTAAACACTATTATTAAAAATAAATGAGAAAAATATATCATAAAATCTGTACTGTATTTATTTTAGAATTGTGAATACTTAGGCTAGTCAAAAAAATTTTCCTGTCGGTTTATGATGACATACAGCTAGTATGATGCAATCCTTTTCTTTGTCTCAAAGGGCCAGGTGTGTTAGGTGAAAAACTGCTATTTCTACTTTATGACTCGAGCTCAAAAATTGTCAGACAATATGACGGATCATATATTATTAGTTATTTCTTCGCCGGTTAAGTAAATAAAAATTCAAACGTAAAGATGCTTTAACACATAGTTCAATGGGGGAGCAAAGGTTGCCAAACGTATGGAGGGGAGGGTAAATGCTGTTATAAATAGGTTTCATGTTTGCCAATAATTTTTCAAATTGTGTAAATGGTACCCATTCCTTACTCCCTAGAATTTTCACTTTGTTGAATTTCCCATAGTAATCCAATGGAATAGTTCCAAGCAGATTTTGAGATAACATGAAATGAAATGAGTTTCTTTAAGTCCATGATGGTATACGGCTTCCCTCAAAAGGAATAATGCATTCCTCAATTTTTTCCTCAATTACAATAGGTCGAAAATTGATGATAAATTTGATGAATTTTTGAAAATCGTCATTCCCATGTAATCCAATGGGAAATGGAGGGTTCGGGGCAAATCAGAAATCAGGATATTTTTTCAGTAAAGGATTCAGCAAAAAATTATTTTCATA